ACAGTGCGATTGGCACAGGACAGAGCGGAGTTTAGGGCTGTTGTACATAGGGTCGCTATGAGTCGCAAGCGACTTGACGGCACATAACAACAACAACATGGCTACAGGATAAAGGAACTCTTTTTGACCACTGACTCTCACCACCTGTAAACATTACACTAAAGTTATTTGATATTTAAAGGACAAAGCAGATGATGATAACTCACTAAATAATTAAATAAATACCCACTGATGTAGACTAAGAACTGGCTCACTGCTGACCCTCCAGTGCCAGTTTCTAAGGCTGTAAGTTGCATGAGAGAAGATCACTTATCCTTCTCCCACAAAAAAGCACGGAAATCCAAAATCTCTGTAAATGTTCATTTAAATTAATAAAATTATTTTTTTATAAAGCATTGTATCCTCAATCAACATTGTATCCTCAATCAACATTATCTCTCTTTTTTTCATGAATTATAACCATGAAGTTGAAAGTACTTTTCTATAAGAGAGAATTTATAAGTAACTTTGATATTAAGTTCAAAAATCTTTTCTACATTCAAAAGGTTTAGCAAGAATTTTAAAAAACGTACATATCGATAGAAATTGGCAAGAAATCTAACATCACCATGAAGAAGCATGTTAGCTAATGCAGGTGTATATGCTCAAGAGACCCGAAAGCAGAAACACGGATACCAGAGTTCATACAGTATTCACAAGAGTCAAAAGGTGGAAACACCTTGATAAATGGATGAGCTAAAAGTAGCCTATACATACTCAGCTGTAAAAGAAAATTAATTTCTGGTCCATGCTATATTAATAAACCTTGAAAATGCAGGGGAATGGGGAATAACTGCAAGAGTCCTGAATTTCTGTCTAGGGTGACAAAAAAAATCTGAAAATGGGTAGTGATTATGGTAACTCAATGCTGTGAATATAGTTAATGCTAATGAATTGTAATGGTTATTTCTTATTGTTGCTACTAGGGGTCATTGAGCCAAATACCCCTCACAGCAACGTGAGGAACAGGTTTGACCTTGCTCTACCCTGCACAAGCCTCATGATTTCTGTCATGCTCAAACTCATTCTGGTCACCACTGTGCCAGTCCATCTCACTGAGGGTCTTCCTCTCTTTTGCTGACCTTTTTCCAGCATGATGTTTCTCTCCAAGGCTGGTCCTGAAAATATGCCCAAAGTAAGTGAGACAAAGATTCACCATCTTTGCCACTAAGAAACATTCTGGTTGCACTTTTTTCCCAATAGATTTGTTTGTTCTTTTGGCAATCTAAAGTATATTCAATACTTTGTTGACATCACAAAGGCATCGATTCTTCTTCTGTTATTCATTGTCCAACTCTCAGATGCACAGAAATAATCGAAAAAGCCATGGCTTGGATCAGGTGTACCTTAGTCTTTAAATTGATGACACCCTTGCTCTTTAGCACTTTGCAGAGGTCCCTGGCAGCAGATTTTCTAAATGCAACATGTCTTTGATTTCTTGACTGCTATTATCATAGGTGTTAATTGTGGATCCAAGTTAAATGAAATAATTGACAACATCAATCTTTTCTTTTTCTATCATGTTGCCTATTGGTCAAATGGTGAGGATTTTTTGTTCTCTTCATTTTGAGATGTAACCCATTATTAATGCTTATAGTTTTTGATCTGTAGCAAGGGCTTCAAGCCATCTTCGCTTTCTGCAGGCAAAGTTGCAAGACCTCTTCTGAATCAAGCTTGAATTTCTAGCAGTTCCTGGTAGTACTTAAAAGTATTTAACTGGTAAACATTATGTCATGCATATTTCACCACAATATAATAAAAAAACCTCAGGGAGCTCTGGTGGCCTAGTGGCAAGAAACTGCATTGCAATCCCAGAGGTATGCGGTTTGAATCCACCAGCTCCTCTGCTGGAGAAGGAGGGGCAATCTCCTCCTGTACCAGTCAGATCCAATTTGATGGTACACACAAAAAATAATTAAATTAAATTAAATTTTTAAAATATAATAAAAAACCTCAAAAAATCAGAAAGAAATAGGGTCAACACCAGTGTATGTTTTCAATACATATTGTTTACCTTAAATGATCATGGTTTTAGTAATGTAGAGTAGAAAACAAACCTGACTGGATCTTGTTTGATGGAACTAAATGTCTGCGGTAATTTACAAAATGCATATGTATCTAGAATAACAACTGAGCTACTTAAAACTATTCCTAAAAGATCCAGAATAAGCAAAGCACTTCTGAAAAACAAAAATGAAGTGGGAGACATAGCACTCAATGATCTCAAAACCTACTACACAGTTGTAATAACCAAAACAGCCTTGTACTGGTACAATGACAGACACTTAGACCAATGGAACAGAATTGAGAATCCAGAAATTAACCCATCTGCCTACAGTGAACTGGTATTCAAGAAGGAAATAAAAATCTATCAGCTGAGGAAATGACAGCCTCTTCAACAAATACTGCTTGGCAAAACCAGGCTTCTACCTGCAGAAAGCTGAAGCAGGATTCACATCTGACACCATACACAAAAATCTACTCAAGGTGGACCACAAACCTAGGAGTAAAGCTCAAAAACATAAAAGATGGTAAGAGGGATCATAGTGAAACTAAACTTAGAAGGCTTGGCCTATGGTCTAAATAGGCAGGCAAATGCTGCTAGTAATGCTCAACCAGGAGAGCCTAACACTGGGGACCTTCAAAAGACTAAGTCTCTGTGCATATCAAAAACTTTTTCCAATAGAGTGAAAAGAAAACCTACTGACTAGGAGAAAAAAAAAATTGCAAAGACATCTCAGGTTAAGAGTTTCATAATGAAAGTTTACATAATCCTACAGGGCCTCCACAAGGAAAAGACTAATAACTATGGGGAAAAAAGACAGGGAAAGAATTTCACAAAGGAAAAAATTAGGATGGCCAATGTGAATGCAGGAATATGTGAAGCACAATGTACATAATTGTGTGAGCAAACCAAATTTAAAAACTTGTTCCTAAAATACTCCTCTGGCCTTTGAAAATCATATTTTGGTAACAGTAACTTGATCATTCAATAATTTAATGAAAACAAATTGAACTTTAAAAAAAAAAACAAAAAAAAAGTACACAATATCATGGTTGGTCTTAGGTGCCCTGGAATCTGAACTGACTCCTAGTTGGATGCCTAGTGCGTTTCAGAGGACGTCTATCGAATAGGAGGAGACTGGCCATCTTTTTCCCACAGGGCAGCTGGTGTTCAAAGCTGGTGGGTAGGAAGGGCAATTCCTTACCATTGGGCCACCAGAGTAAATGTATTAAATGTTACTAAGTGTTCACTTGGGTTAATCTTCTGATATGTAAACTTCTTTGTAATAAATCACTTTTTTTAAAGTAAAGAAAAAACACTATGCTTGCTTCTATAAATCTATCAATGTGTTTAAGTTGTGAACTATGGTTTTAAAGCCTTCTTCCCAATACCTTTTTCTTGCAGTCATCCCAATTCAGCTCTCTACCCATCAGCTCAACAATCCTGGGCAGTGCTTCCTCTGCTGCCTGCACATTTAGAAAGGCTAGCCGAGTGCGGCGCGAGATCATGTCCACAGCTGTACAAGCATACTCCTTAATCCCGTATTTCACCTGCATTGAAATGGAAAAAAAAATATATTCATTAAAGACCTTTCTTTTTTTTCCCCTATGGGGGAAAAAATGGCTAATGCTTAGTAAAGCCATGAATTTTTCTTTCTGTTCTCTGGGTCATCTGGCAGGTAAGAGACAAAGAACAGCAGCACACAAGTCCTCCAATGGCCTGCCAGAGGATGCTTGGACAATGGGATCAACTGGACAAGAGTAGTGCTACTGAATAAAACCAGGTATAAGCATGCAAACTGCATCATTTCCCATTGGCATGCATAGGATTCATTTCCTCTGTCTGTACACAACAGCCAGTGAAGACTGGGCAGACTCATGGTAATCTATAGTGTGTCAGAACTTTGTTCCACAGAGTTTTCAATGGTTGCTTGTGAGGAAGTAGATTGCCAGACTTTTCTTCTACAGTGCCTCTGGGTGGCTGCATACTCTCAACCTTTCAAGTAGCAGTTGAGTACTTAGCTGTTTATACTACCTTCCAGGATGTAGTCGGCTGCTTTACAGGCAGAACCCACAAAGGACAACTATTTCAAAAAGGTACGATCTTCTGTCTTAGGCTGTACTCTATTTTCTGTCACTGTTTTGGTTTTTCTATCTTAAAATAATTAGATGACAGAAGCCCTCAAAAGAAAACAGACAAGCATCAAAACAGTTACTTGCTGCCGCGAGGGGCCTATTTTGCCTCTAAGCAACCGCACATGTTATATAGAGTACAATTGCTTCCTGGCTTTCTTGGCTGTAAACTTTAGGGCAGGAGTTCAATGAGCCGTTCTTTCTGCAGTGTTGCTGGTGGATTTGAATTGTCAATCTGAACACTAGTCAAGCACTTAACAGATGGTGCCATCCAAGGGCCTTTTTAAAGGTATGCTGTTGTTACTGTTGTTATGTGTTGTGGAGTCAGAGCCAGCTGACACTCCACAGGGTTTCAGAGGTGGGGGAATGCTATTCACATCACTTTGCACCAGCAGCACAATTCCTCAGCTACCAAAGCTCCCTCTTTAAAGACATGGTGGGTGATAAACAAATAGAAAACATGATCCCGGCCTTCATAAAATTATTTGTTGATAAGTTAAGTGTCAAATCGAGATCTGTCATGAGCCACATATAACATGAGCTGCTACAAAAGAAAAGAGCTACAAGTTCAAACAAGGTACAGGCAGCTGTGAATTAATAAGACTTCGGAAAACTCACGATGAACAAAGAAATCCATGGTTTTTTTACTATTATTATTGTTGTCACTGTCAAACGTATTTCAGAATGAACATTAAAAATCTGTTGTTCTGGGTAGACATTGCATGTTTTAGGCAAATTAAATCTCTATCATCTTATTTTTTTTAAGATGATAGAAAACAAACAGGTGAATAATTTCCTAAGGCACGTAGGAAATTGACAAGTAACATACCTCAGCTTCAATATACGGAAATTCGGACACAAGACGAACTCCAACAATGGGCCACCTTTTCCCAGTCACACTGGCCATTTTTGCCACCTCAAAAGCCTTGTCTCCATAGGTGGCGGCAAGATGTTGAGCCACCTGTGGGAATAGAACTGGATTAGGGAGGTACTCTGTACTTTGAATATCAATACTTTCTAGATACAAAGCAAGAATGTGCACGCTGTCTTGTTTTCTCACAGCCTGTTCTAAGAGGGCATGAGCTTTTGATTTTGTGGGAGGAAATTACATGGGCTTTGAATGCTTAGGCCAGCACTAACTCCACTGCACATGCATCACTGTTGGAATGACTGATGAAGCTTCAACTTCATGCTGCTCCCAACATCCCTTCTGAAGAAGGCCTAAGTTTCAGATAGAATGTGACAAGCTGTTTTCTAGAAACAAATCAACTAAAACTCTGGATCCCAACAAAAACTAAATTATACATTGCTTTTTAGGAAACTAAGGCAAAGCGCAATCATGTCATTCTTTGCCCACTCCTTAGTTCAAAGTCAGAGTACACAAAAACAGTCACAGCAAAAAGAACTCTTATCAGAGAAGTGATATTGCTGTTGCTTTGGAATTCTGCAACAGTAAGGTTAAGTAAAGAAAAGGCTTCAGAGTGCAAACACACCTCACTTTCAAGCCCGTAATCCTGGACAAGCCTAATGTAGAGTGTAGGGCTCCAGTCTTTTCCCCCTTGAAGGAAAAGTCCAACTGTTCTGCTTGGTCCTGCTTTCAAATTGTGGACTTTGATAGCAGCATCTACAGCATCTTCTGCCATGGATCGGTAAGTTGTCCATTTTCCACCTATAATTAAACGAATAAATAATTTGTTCAGTCACTCTTTCCTCTTATTTTGCTTCTATTTCATCAGATATTAACTCTTTAATAACAAGTGAAAATTATGTCTAAAATATTTGGGGGGGAATACCTTCTATTCATTAGTTAAAAGAGATTTGAGTGTGGTAATTTAATCTAAGTCAATACAAGTTTGAATAAGCACCCTTAAATGATGGTTTATTATCCCGTACCTGCTATAGTGATAAGGCCACTGTCACTGACATCAACTACGTGGTTTCGGGAGATTGACTGAGTATCTGCAGATTTGGGGTCTGTGACAAGGGGACGAATGCCACTCCATGCTGCCAGGACATCCCCTCTTCTCACTGTTAAGAGTCAATGGAAAGGAGAAAGATTAGCAAGGAGAACATGTGAGTGTGCACTTGAAAACGGAGGGAAAGCCCCACAAAGAAGATCTGAGTAACTGAGTGAATGAGAGAATCACTCGCTGCCATCAAACTGGAACCAACCCACAGCCAAGCCTCCACTGGTTTCCAAAGCTGTCACTCAAATAGGAGGAAACTGTCCATCTTTCTCCCTTGGTGCTGTTGGTGAATTCGAACTGCCAGAGTAGCATAGCATTTAGGTTAGCTGTGTATGTATCTCCCTATGGAATCAACCATCAGAGCTCCCTTAAATGACTGGACAAATACAAGAAAAACTCATGAATCCTTGTGCTCCATGAGAAAATCAAAGAACTTGAAGAACACTGACAAATACTAAAGAGGAGGCAAAAAGACAAAATGATAGCAATTGTCCAAAAGTAACCTGTAAAATGATTAAAATGAACAAGGAAAGAAAGACACAGAACAAAAAGAAATCAATATCCCTCTGATGCTGATGGTCTGTTTATAGTCTTCTAACCATCAAGTCAGTAAGATGAACTGATAGAACTCATGTCTCAAAAGAATGAGAAAATTAAGGAAATATATACAAATCAGAAGAACCAGGCCATCTACCATATCTTAGTTCAAATTAGTAAATTCCATACAGGAAGGACAGTTTTGCAAGTAGAGAGGGCAAAATTTCTGCTCCTTGGAGGCAAGAATGGCAAGATACATACAAGCTTCAAGTGACATACTTTGGGCATATTGTTAAAAGGAGCTATTCCTTGGAAAGGGACATCATGCTTGGACTGATACAGTAATGGCAACAAGGAGTCTGACTATGGTCACAAATGATGAAGATGGCGCAGGATAAGGCAGAGTTCAGATTTATTATTCATAGGGTCATACTTGACACTATAGTACATAACCACATCATCAACACACGGATTTAATCAAATCCGTATCCAAACACTGTAAATGAGAAGAAAGTATAAGGCTTCTCAGTCTTGTTAAGGAATTAGAAATCAGAAAATCCCAAAGTTGAGATTCCATTTCTAGATAGCCTTACTACTCTGATTAGTACAGTCTCTTAAATACATGTAATCCTAATGTATTCCATGGGTTGTTAATACCTATTCAACAATTCTTGAATTGTACAAATGGTACAAAGTGCCAATCTTTACTAAAAATAAAATAGGGGCGGGGCCCGGAGGAGGCGGCCGAGCCAATGGGGCGTGGCGGCGGCAGCGGCCTGAGGTGGAGGCAGAGGGCAGCGGGGGGAAGATGGCTGAGAGTGTCAGTGCCGCGGTGGGAGCGGGCGGCCCGGTACGCAGTGTGCGCCGCTGGGATCCTGCTCTCCATCTACGCCTACCACGTGGAGCACGAGAAGGAGCGGGACCCCGAGCACCGGGCCCTCTGCGACCTGGGCCCCTGGGTGAAGTGCTCCGCCGCCCTGACCTCCAGATGGGGTCGAGGATTTGGCCTTTTGGGTTCCATTTTTGGAAAGGATGGTGTATTAAACCAGCCAAACAGTGTCTTTGGACTTATATTTTATATACTACAATTAAGAAGTTCAAGCTGCTTTGAAGGAAATAGCAAAAAATAAAGCCCCAGGAATAGATGGTATACTAATTGAAGTATTTCAGATAACAGATGTTGCCCTGGACGTGCTCACCAAGTTGTGCCAAGAAATCTGGAGAACAACCACTTGGCCAACTGACTGGAAGAGATCTATATTTGTTCCCATTCCAAAGAAAGGTGACCCAACTGAGTGTGGAAACTACAGAACAGTGTCATTGATTTCACATGCAAGCAAGATTCTGCTGAAGATCATCCAAAAACGATTAGAAGAGCACATCAGCAGAGAACTGCCGGAAGTCCAGGCTGGGTTTAGAAGGGGTCGTGGTACTAGGGATATCATTGCTGATGTTACATGGATCTTGGCTGAAAGCAGAGAATACCAGAAGAATATCTATCTGTGTTTCATTGATTATGCAAAGGCATTTGACTGTGTGGATCATAACAAACTGTGGCTGACTCTGAGAAGAATGGGAATCCCAGAACATTTAATTGTGCTAATGCCAAACCTATACTTGGACCAAGAGGCAGTAGTCAGAACAGAGCAGGGTAACACTGCATGGTTCAAAATAGGGAAGGGTGTACGCCAGGGATGCATCCTGTCTCCATACCTTTTCAACATGTATGCAGAGCAGATTATCCGAGAGGCTGGGCTCTATGAGGAGAATTGTGGCATCAGGATTGGTGGAAGATCTATCAACAATCTCCGTTATGCAGATGACACAACCTTGCTTGCTGAAACTGAGGAGGACCTCATGCACTTGCTGCGAAGGGTCAAGGACTGCAGCCTTCAGTATGGACTGAGGCTCAACATCAAGAAGACAAAGATTCTCGCCACTGGACCAATTGGCAGCGTCAGGATGGATGATGAAGAGATTGAGAGTGTTCACAGCTTCACTTTGCTAGGCTCCACAGTCAACACTCTTGGTACCAGCAGTCAGGAAATCAAAAAGCGTATCGCAATGGGAAAGTCTGCCGTTAGGGACCTCTCAAACGTACTCAGGAGCAACAGTGTCTTTCTGGAGACTAAGGTGCGCCTGATACAGGCCATGGTATTTGCAATTGCTTGTTATGCATCAGAGAGTTGGACAATGACTAGGGAGGACAGAAGGAGAGTGGATGCTTTTGAGCTGTGGTGCTGGAGAAGGGTACTGAATGTACCCTGGACTGCCAGGAAAACAAACAGATCCATCTTGGAGAGGATTAAACCAAGCTGCTCCTTGGAGGCAAGGATTCTGGGGCTTCGTCTGACATACTTTGGACATGTTGCCAGGAGGGACGGGTCCTTGGAGAGGGACATCATGCTTGGGAGGGTGGAGGGACAGCGCAGGAGGGGAAGACCCTCTATGAGATGGATTGATTCGGTGACTGGGGTAATCGGGATGGGTGTGTCAGAGGCGGTGCGGTTGGCGCAGGATAGAGCAGGGTTTAGAGCTGTTGTGCATAGGGGCGCTATGAGTCGGAAACGACTCGATGGCACATAACAACAACAACAATTATTACTTGGCATGACGGCCAGCGCAGTCGCCGCCTTGATCCTCATGACGTCCTCCATCGCGTCTGTGGTGGGCTCGCTGTACCTGGCCTACATTCTGTACTTTGTACTCAAGGAGTTTTGCCTCATCTGCGTCACCACGTATGTGCTGAACTTCATCCTCCTTGTCGTCAACTACAAACGGCTAGTTTACTTGAATGAGGCCTGGAAGAGGCAGCTGCCGCCGAAGCAGGACTGACGGCCAGTGGACTCCGGTCACAAGTCCCTCTTCCATTAAGTTTATTTTGCAGCAGGTTTTTTTGTTTTGTTTCAGTTTTGTGTTTTGTTTTTTTTTTTAAAAAAAGTCTTCAACAACAGACACTCTCTCCCCAGGAATCTTAAACTGATTTTTTAAAGTCCTGTAAATTTGAAGGGGCTCTAGCTATTTCCTGTGTCAATCTTCAGTTTATGGATATGGAGAAAAAAAAAAGAGGATACGCCAAGCCAATCAAAGACAAGCTTTAACTTTACTTTGAAGATGTTTCTGAGATAATACAATGTCACCCCTGCCCCCTGCCCTGGCCCCCCAGTTGTCAAGTGAGCAACCATTGCTGATAATTCTCTAATGTGTATCAATTCAATTTCAGGTATAACAAATGTGATCATGACATGAAAATATTTTAGACTAGATACTGTATTAAATATTGCCTTGTTTACAATAAAAAAAAATAAATATCAAAAACAAAACTCTCAACTATCTAACTAGGAAATTACTGCTATTTTCCATCAGTTCACAGCACCCTATGAGTCAAAAATAAAATTTAGCCAACCCACGTACAACATCCTTGTGGTCACCACAAAGCTTATCTGTGAAATTCCTTAAGTAGCCACACCGATCAGGAATTATGGTTTCAACTCTTCAAGACTTCTGACTGATTTTTAAATTATTTGGTGGAAAATTGGACTTTCCAGAGTAAATCTGAAGCATATGCAAATAATTTTCATGGCAAATGCTTTCTCTTTTCTATATTAGGTAGAAAAGTATATGTATGAAATTGTATTGTCTGAGACAAAAAGACTAAAGCAAGTTTTACACTCAGAGAAGGGGCACTAACTAAAACATCACCCATATGGATAACACTTTAATTGCTTATTTCTGGAATTGATACTTTCAAGAAAACACTATCAGAAAGAGTTCATAGTAGACTTTATTTTGCTTGAAATCTTAACATCCAGCCCTTTAGCATGAGAAGTCTATTAGATCAATGTTGCAATAGAAGTTCTTTATTTCAAAAACTATATTTGTTGTTGTTGTTAAGTGCCGTCTAGTCGCAGGTGACTCATAGCGACAGACCGTATGAAGAAAATGATGGTCTTAGACATTACTAATTTAGCTAACTCTTGAGCCTTCCTATAACTTAGAGTTCTTGATTTGCAAGATAATAAATTTCTCTCTTACACACACACACACACTGATTTCAAGAAGCTGCACTACAATTCTGAAGGCACATAGTTTGCTTTGGCCAGCTGCTCCATGGAAGAATGGATAATCTCCTCCCATGTAATTAATCGCCTCTGAAAACCTGCTGGAGGGTCAGGTATGGGTCGGTTCTGACTCGATGGTACATAACCACAAGAACAAGTCTGTGTGTGTGTGTGTGTGTACACACACAGATTGTACTGCAAGCCCAAAGGACTCCACTGGAGGGTAAGCTATGGGTTGATTCCCATAGTTGACCAATGCTGTTGCTGACGGTAAACAACGGCAACAGATTCTAGAGCACAACTGGCCCACTGTCTTTCTGCAATGACGAAAATGTTCTTCATCTACACTATTAAATTCATCGGGAATGAGCAACATGTGATTAAGAGGCACTTAGATCATGAAACTGAGACATTGTATTTTCATGTCACTTCATTTTAACTAAGCATAAATAGCCATGTAAGCAATGGAAATGTCTGCAGTCAGGAACCTCTCAAAATTGAGGTGTAATTATTTAACTCTGAGGACTAAAGTATGCTTAATCCAGGCCATGGTCTTTTCAGTCACTTGCTATGCATCTGGACAGTGACTAAGGATGAAAGAAGAATTGATGACTTTGAACTGTAGTGTTAGAGAAGAGTTCTTAATGTCCTATGGACTGCCCAAAGAACAAACAGTTATGTCTTGGAGAAGGTGCAGCCAAAATGCTTCTTGGAGGAAAAATGATGAAGCTTCATCTCATATACTTTCAGCATGTTGCTAGAGAGGGACATCATTCTTGGCAAGGTGGAAGGGTGGTGAAAAAGAGGAAGACCTTTGCTAGGTAAGTCAACAAGGTGACGGCAGCAACGGACTTGAGTGTGTCAGAGATTGTGAAGATGGCAAGGGACAGGTCATGTTCAGACTGATTGTCCATAAGGGCACTATGAGTCATACTAGACTTAACAGCAACCAACAACAACAACATCACCCAGAAGTTCTAGAGTAAAAGCCCCCAAAAGTATATTTCAGATCTTGTTCTGAGAGATCACTGAGTTGATGGATCCACCATCAACATTCCTAATAGACAGCATTTCACTGAAATTTGCTAATGAGAATATAATCTGCTGTAACAGCATTCTTTTCCCAGAATACTTTAATGTCATACTATGATCCCCCCCTTTTATAATAACTTCAACTTTCTCTCTTCACATATTCAAATAAATAAAAATTACTGTCCTTCAAGCAGGAATCTAGGTTCTCTTTCTGGACAATACACCTCATAAGTAGCCACCACTCATCAGTCAATATTATGATGAATAGAGAAAGGATTAAAGCTGTCAATAATTTAATCTTTCTTGGATCAACAACCAACACCCTTGGTTCCATTAGTCAGAAAATCAGGAGACATATTGCATTTGGCAAGTCTGCTCTAAAATGCTCAAGAGTAATGGTACAATGATATCAGTTTGAAGATTAAGGTGCTCCTGATTCAGGCCACAATCTTATTAATCACCTGCTATGCATTAGAGAGCTGGACAATGAATAAGGATAACAAAAAAAAAAGTTTTTGAGTTGTGTTACTGAAGAAGAGTACCGAATATCCCAAGAATTGTCAAAAGAACAAACAGATAAGTCTTGGGGAAAGTGCAGCCAGAGTGTTCCTTTCCAAAGCAAAAATGGCAAAGCTTCATCTTTCATGTTTTGGAAATGGAGTTAGGCAAGGCTATTTCTTGGAAAGGAACATGAAGCTTGGAAAGGTGAAAGTTAGTGAAGGAGAGGAAGATTCCCCAGTGAGATGAACTGACACAGTGACCTCAACAATGGGCTCTAGTGTGTCAGAGATGATAAGGATGGCACAGGATAGGGCAGAGTTCGGGTCAGCTATTCATAGGCTCATTATGAGTCAGACTCTACTTGATGGCACCTAACAACAGCTGATGCTGAAGAGATTTCAATGAAACTTGCAGACTAAAACAGACTAGTAAGAAAGGTCTGGAAATCAGTTCTTGAGATTGCTGTGGATCAAAATAGATGGCACAGGGCTGAGTAACATTTAATTCCATTCAGCATAGAATCACCATGTATATGGGATGGTGTGAAGACGTATAAAAACAATACAACATAAGTCACACAGGTTGAACATAGCCATATGTTGCCACTGGTCATGTATATAACCATTACCTACTTTAATTGTCCATGATGTAATAAAAAAGTAGCACAACTCAGGGTTGTTAAGCCTTAGAGCTGAAAGATTCATCTTGATTTTTCTAATTCTCATACAACCAAGAGAGGTACACAAAATTTCATTACTGGTTTCATCTGCTTCTCACCACAAAGTATTCAGCAATAACAATTCCAGTATTACTTCATTGTCTCCTTCACATTCAAGTATTGTATCAAGTACTGGCACAAAGACAGTCAATAAATATTAAATGATATTTTAAAGCATTTATTTACATTGTTTAGATCAAACCGCAAGACCTAAGAGTTACAAAATTAAAAGTAGAAATATTTAGATATCTGACCCAAAATTATAGACTTTATGTAAAGTTTCTACTGATCATATATTTAAACAACTAGATGTTGTTGTTGTTGTGGAGTACCATCAGCGCTGACTCTCAGTTGACCCTCTAGAGGGTTTTCAAATCGCATGGGAAGAGTTTGTCCATCTTTATCCTACAGGGCAGCTGATGCCCTCAAAATGAACACCTTTGAGTAGGCAACATAATTCTTTACCACTAAGCCACCAAGCCTCAAACTTGGGTGATGGTCCATTTCAAATAGTCCATCCCAAAACAAATGGATCCTTAAGATAAAAGAAGACAATTATTTAGACAACAGGAAAAAAATCTATTATGAAACTTTACTAATTCCATTAAAGGTTAATCCAGTCCCTGTAGATAAAATTTTACTGGATATAGTATCCAGTTGACTTTTTTTATAGACCAATTCTCTTGGTGCTAACAGATGCTATATGCAAAACTGTTTAGCAATATTTTAAGACTGTATGAGAGAAAATAACTAGTCCTCTTATTATTATGCTTAGAAATTATTTTTATTACATTCCTGACAAAGAACTTATTCAAGTTTTAGTACATATGTATAAACATAGGGAAATCTGGTGGCCTCATAGATAGGGAGTTGTGTTGCCAGCACAAAGGTCGAAAGTTCAAATCTACCTGTGGCTGTACAAGAAAAGGATGGGCAATCTCTTCCTGTGTGATTTACACCCTCTGAAAACCCACTGGAAGATCAACTTTGAGTTGGTTTCTATTTGGATAGCAATGAGTTTGTTGGAATATACAAATAACAAAATATAAACAGTAAACTGGAAAATATTTTTTTAACCACTGCTTGAAAATAACAAAACATAGTATGATTGTTTCAAACTATAATTAACATTTTTGCTGTTAAAAACTTGGCAGTACAAATGTTTGTTTGTAAAATTAATAGAAAACGAAGCCTATTGGAAGTGACAATTAAGAGATAAGCGTGCAGTTTTGTTTCACACCCACTCTTTGAGCATACATTTTGGTGTGTTCTTTCTCATGTTTGCCAAATTAAGAAATAATCAATAAGTGGCATGAGAAAATATCTAAATGAACACAAGAGAAATAGTGTCAGAAATCAATACTCTGCTACCAACATGTTTAACCTGCTGAAATGAAGTGTTAATCGCAGAAATAAGGTACCCATATTACATTTATAAACGAATGAAACTAGAAAAAGCAAAGCGCATGACACTATAATTAAACAGCTGGAAGACATCCAAGGCTGTGTAAATTGATAACCCT